GCCTGCATTTCGCGCACTCGACACGCACGATCTCCGCAGAGGGTTGCATTTTCGTTTGACGCTTAAGAGAGAATTTATAAGGTGGGGAAATGTTTTTCATTAGGACATCTCCCGTGCAAGTTTTTTAGGACATCTCCCGTGCAAGTTCTCCATACTCATACTTGCATACTTGTGCATACTTGCACTGGGATTGCACTGGGATACTTGCATACTTGCATACTTGCACTTGGATACTTACACTTGCATACTTACCCTTGGATGCTTTTGTTCAAGTGCAAGTGTGGAAGTGTCAGTGTGTAAGTGTAAGTGTCGAAGTGCCAGTGTTCAAGGGATTTTCCGGAAGAACCCTTCGCAATGCTTTCGGGAAAAAACAGTGTGAAATCATGGAGAAATGATGAAATGCACGTCCTGGTTTGGGTAAGTCAGGACATAGGGTAAAACAGGCAAACAAAACTGAAGAACTGCAGCTTGTCAGGAATGCAAACCGACACAGGAGGACATAGCTCCCTGCAGCCTATGTCTATCTGATCCAAAGTATGCCGTACAACTTGCAGTGCAGCTGTGTGGTTCTTGCAAGTGGCGTGGTGAGCGAAATTGGGGAGGAGCCTTCCTTCGTTCGTTCCTTCCCTTCCCTCCCTCCGTAAGACGGAGACATCCCTTGATATACTGTAAGGCTCCCAGGGCGCGACCCATCAAGAGGAAGTACAACTTCACGCAGGGCACAGGGGTTTGTCGGAACAATTTTTGATGTCTACCTTTGTATAGATCACGTTGATTGTAAAGTTCAAAAAGGTCGGTTAGAGACACCCGGAGGTAAAGACCGTGAGTCTTGAGATGCCCAAAGGGATGTCATTTGCCATCCAAACAAATAGTCGCACGCTGGACAGCATGTCGTCACCATCCTTGCTTCGCAAACACCTCGTCAAACCAACCCTGTTGCCCCGCCACTCATCCAAGACTATAATGCTCTGATAGACAGAAGCATGGTTTCTTATCAGATCGTACTGCTAACTCAATCAAACTGTTCATTGCTAGGTTCAGTGCGACAGGAGTGAGCGGCCAGAATGTCTGGCCTAGGCTGGACGTAAAGATTTGGACACCACTAGCCGCAGTTTGGCCGAGATGGTGTGACATATTGGTATATTGTACGGTAAATTATGTATACACATCCATGTACATGTGCATGCCAGCAACTTCAGAACGTGGGATTGTCAAAATTCAGGAGGCCAAATGTTGCCCTGTCAAGACATGCCAAATGCATCCAAATGCACTAAAGTCCCTCACAATGCTCAACCAGGTATGCAAGCAAGTGAACTGAACAGACTTTAAACTCTTGCATATTGAATATTGCTTTCTACCACTGGAGAGGCGCCATCTCCGCACTACTTGTGCTCTGCAAAACAGCCTGGGTTGCCAACTGGTGAGAGAGGTCTCAGCCAAATCTGGCCAACAAATCTGAAGTTTGATATCTCCATACCCAAGCGTAAGTCAACTCCCGCGTACAATGGATGTAACCCACACCCACCACTTCAAGACTGAATTGAGCTTGAAAGGCCTGGGGTTTTGAATCGACACTGGTGGCTTTCCACGGAGGCACCTTGGCAATAAAGCATTCCAACTGCACTGCGTGTTCAGTTTTCCTAAAAATCTAGGAACCAAATGATTATATAGTGCAAGTAGCTACTAGGAACAAGTGCATCGCTACTAGTAACAAGTGCCTTACTAGTAGTAACAAGAACGCTAGTAGGAACAAGTGCCACGCTACTAGTAACAGGTGCCTTACTAGTAGTAACAAGAAGCTATTTGGGAACAAGTGCGAGGGAAGCTGCCCCCCGCCCTCAGGGTGGGGAGCTTCCTTGAGAAGCTATCCTGCGTCCAGAAGGTAGTAGCTAACTAGTAGCCTAGTAGCTTACTCTCCCTTACTTAATTAAGTAGGCACCTATTTAATTACACAGTAGGAGAGCAGAGCCGGCTGGAAAATAAACATGTCTTTTGAAGCCATGAAGCCTGCCTCTCAAGTGCCATTGGAAGGAGATCTTTCCACGCTTCGCGCAAATACTCACGACGACGGCTGTGAAACAGGTGCCAACAGGCGTGGTGAAAGGTCCCATGCAGGCATTCGTAGTGGACAGATTGGAGCACTTCCGAGCACGGTCCCCGTGCCAGAAATGCAAAGGGAAACCAATGCGAGCAGCATTTGCTCAGCTTTCCCTTCTTGCTCCGGCTCTTCCAACAGCGTGGTGTTTTTCCGTTTCGATCCTTTATATTTATATAGATCCCTTTCAACAAGTTTCAACGATTCAGAAGAGCAAGTAAAGCCGATCTTTCACAAGCCCTTGGCACAGCCCAAAAACTCGAGCAAAAAACCGGAGCAAGATCTTGAGCACTTTCTTCGGCCTGTTGGGCGAAGCAGTTTACAGCAACTCACCACAGCTCAAGCAGCTTTCTTCGTATCTTGGATTCTTGTTCAATCCTCATTCATGTAGTGTAGTGATGAATTGAGCAATCCTGAGAAGCTCTCTTTGGTGAGTTTGTGCTTGGCACGCCTAGCTGCACAGGTCTGCAAAGGGGGAGAAAGGGGCGATACGGTGCGTTCTTTAGAGAACACAAGCCCATTCTGCGATTCTTTGCAGCGCTCTCTACGCCTCTGGCTTCGCGCTTAAGCTCAAAGGTGGCCACAAAGGCTTGGTGGCTGGCTTGACAAAAGCATGATGCCGGTAGGAGCAGGCACAAAGGTCGGCACGATGCGCAGAAACGCGGCAAAGTTAACTTAACAGAATCAAAATCACCACCCTGACAGTTCGCATAGGTGGTGACACTTTGATCAGCTTGGAAAGGTTTCTCGGAAAAGCCCTTCCTTGAACAAATCCGTTGGCCTTGAAGCTTCAATGTGAAGCTTCGCCTCAGCTCCTCATCATTTGCATAAACTCCTGGAAGTCGATTTCACCATCCCCATTTGTATCCACCATCTTCATCAAATCCTGAGCTTAATGGTGCTTCGGCATGCTTCCGGTCACTTCCAGTGCACAAACATGGTTTCTTTTGCAACCACACGCAGCCACACGCATGGAAATCGAGCAGACTACAAGGTCAAAGGACTGAACCCTCCTCCCCAAAATCGCTTGCTGAGTGAACAGCGTAAAACTCTTCGTCTACTGCAATAGCTCAACCTATCAAGACAAGTTGCAGCCAGGTCCTGCAGAAAACAAAATAGATCTTGCAATGCACTGTACATGTTGTGCAGTCAGGCAATCCTTTGCAACCCTCAGTCAACACCAAACGTCAACATCAAGGATAGTTCAAATCCCTTGTGAAACATGTAAGAAACATAACCCCCTTTCTCTCCTTGTGAAACTTGCCTGCAACGTCATCACTGGCCAAGACCTCCGCGAGCCTGGACCAACAAACTGAGGCGGAAAACTCGGGCATCGATGAAATCATTAACAAGTGCCTTACTAGTAGTAACAAGAAGCTACTAGAAACAAGTGCCACGCTACTAGTAACAAGTGCCTTACTAGTAGTAACAAGAAGCTATTAGGAACAAGTGCATCGCTTCTAGTAACAAGTGCATCGCTTCTAATAGCTTCTTGTTACGACTAGTAAGGCACTTGTTACTAGTAGCGTGGCACTTGTTTCTACTTATTATTTATAATATACATATTAACTGTACATAATGAACACAGTGCTTGTGAACACAAAATACATACAAATGTGTACATATATATATATATACAAATATACATACATATCATCTACTACGATATACTTCTTTTAGTCCCTCTCTAATTTGTTACTTGCCTTTGTGCTTTGTTTCTGTCTTTCTTTCTTTGATTCCTTCCCTCCTTCCTTCCCGTTTTCTTTCCGTTTGATGCTGGTCCAGGGAAGTGTCTTTCCAACCCTGGCGACTGCACGCTCCACATGATTGGTTCACTGAGGACGACACTCTTTCTGGCTGATGGTACCATTGCCATCGCGATCGAAAACGCGGAAAGCTTGCCAACAAGCATCTTCCTGGAAAGATTGAGGAGCAGTTGCAGTAGCAGTTTCTCAAAAAGACTCCCAGTGACTGAGTCCTCAATGAAGTGCTTCCTGTCCAGAGTGGCCGCCTGATGAGTTCGTGCTGAAAGTCACTCATGCTTTCAGTCTTCTTGTCTGTGATCATTCTCTCTCTTTCTAGTTCTCTCGACTCTCGAGCTAGTATCTTCTCCGTTCTCTTCCTTCCCTTCTGCCTTGTGTTCTGTCCTGCATCTGTCCACGCTAGGTCTTTCTCCCATCATTCGATCTCCCAGCCCCTTCTGTCTCGCCCTACTCATCTCAGAATATTATCTATACCTTGACCTTCTGAATGCTGTTTTGTACTCTTGCTCATCACTTTTGCTGGTGGTAGGCCAATTGCACATCTTGGTGCAAGACTAAAGCAAGCTACGTACTGGTCAGGCAAGCTGCAAGGAACTCCGTGTAATCGATGACCCCGCTTCCATCTGCATCGATGCTCCTCATGATCTCCTCCAAGGGGCAGAAGACTACAAACACGCCTCAAGTGTCTGTGCTTAATCCAAGCCCGCTGACACCCGCCTGAAGGTCGCCTGGAATGTCCTTCAAGCCACCCTTCTCCAAGCCTGAAAAAACCACTGACACTGGCATTGCGGCATTGCACAAAAATTGCAGTGATCATGCAACTACAACAAGTGCAGAATACTAAAGGCAAGTGACCTGCTTTAAGTTCGGCTGCAGTTAGCAGCCCATCTCCGTTCCTAAGTAGGTAGGATCACTGAATTCGACAAATGAATCTAGGACACCAGCAAGGATGCCTCTCACATTCTGCCAAGCAGCTCATCTAGCGCTTGGAAAGTCTCTCTCAAGGCCCTGAGTTTCCCAAGCTCTCAAGTACGATGGCCTCCAACCTACTAGCGACGTTTCCCATTGGCTTTTTACCCTGGTTTTTAAGAAATCTGAGCAAGGTGCTGGATCTGCTTGTCATCAAGACTGCTTGCAATCACCTGCAAGGCTGCTTTCCTTAGCTTACCAGCTGGCAACACTAGGGTGTGTCAAGCTGTTGCAGAAAGCTGGGCGAAAGGAGAATAAGGATTCTGCACTGTTCAATTTACCGGCACGCAGTCTCGCTTCCTTGTTCGAGAGCCCCTGTCTGCAAACAAGCTCAAGCATGCTTGGCAAGCATGACTTGGATCTCCACATCCACTGGAGGCTGCTGCTCAACTTATATGAGACACAACTTCCACACGTACCGACTGGACTTCGGGAGACATATTGCTGAGACTGTTTGCCTCTCTTGCAGGACAAAGAAGAATCAGCAAACAGGACGTCCGGCAAGTTTATCAGACCGAGTATCTTCAACTTGTTCTGCGACAGGAATCCACGCAGCTTGTCGACGAAACCGTCCTTGCGCACAAAACAAAAGCTGGTCAACGCAACGCACGTTGCAAAAAGCGGCCATTCTCTGTCGAAGGCTAATTTCGATGACTCCAATTGAGCAAGCAGCTTGCCTGCAGGTTGACATCTTTGGCCTTCGGGGCCTTTTCTTTGATCCACACCTTTCGTCAGTACTCACAAAAATGGCCTCTCGAACTCCAACTGTGCAGTTCACGGCATGCGACAGGGTGTATATACAGTACATCATTTCAGTTTGCAGGTGTGTCACTGTCAGGCCAAGTAGCATCGTTCAACGCTTGCTCGGCAGAGTATCTGTCCTTGGGGTTCATCTGCAAGAGGTTCTTGATCCTTGGAGAGTCAAAACCCACGCTGTGAGCAGCTGCGGCTGCAGTGCATCTTGCAAATGCACAATCCGCGGCATTATCTGTGTGGCCAGGTCACAGCGCTTTGGCATCTTCAGAAACATTCTTCCTTGCACAAATGAAAGGCAGGAAGGGGCTAAGGCACTAGGGAATGGTCAGAGTACGTGGCAGCCACAAAATGCACCAAAGTGGCCAATCTGCTGCCTGAAACTTCACCTTTCCTTGACGGACCTGGTGCAACGGCGCTCAAGATTTCTCAGCCAAATGGAGCAAGTAATTCTAGACTTAAATGTCTTCTAGGTTGGAGTCCATCGTTATTCGGGTGGAGGCCATCGCTATTAGGGGTTGGAGGCCATTACAATAGTTGGGCTCTTCAGACCTCGTCAAGAACTTCCTGGTCCGACTCACCATAGAAGGGAGGATAACCACACAGCATGACGTACCTGGAGAGTGTGGAGACAATTGAACAAAAAAGAGAGAGAAAAAAACATATGAGCACTCCATTCTTCGAGGGGGGCACATGATCACACCCAGGCTCCACATGTCGGCCATGTGATCATATTTGCCAGCAAGGACCTCGCGACGAATCTCACAACTGTGTCCTGCAAGTATTCTCTCTCATCTTCCAGCAGGAATGTGGTTTGTAAAGGGAGGCAAAGACTTAGAAGCAGAAAAACAAAAAGTTGTCAAGAAATTTAGAAAGACTGTGCCTTTGGATCCTGTTATTGTGCTGTCTTCCAAAAGAAGCTTGTAATTATTTTCTGTGCAGCATCACGGGTGTGAGCAGCGAGTATATAATTGTACATAAACTCTATATACTGTGCAAGAATCATACATGTACTCATTATTCAGTATTCCCAACAAAAGGGAGTGGACATCCTTGTAAGTTCCACGAGACAATGCGCACAAGGCTTGGCCACTTCTGCTTCAAGGTTGGACTGTTCTATGCGGTTCTGTTTCGTTATGCTCTTGGAGAATAATCTAGGTCTATCTGATCCGGCATGATCCAACCTACTGGGAATCCGCAATTGCATTGAATCCGCCTGGGGGGCCACATAGTAAGGAGTGCCGGCTTTTGTAGTCAACACCTGGTCCAGGCGGCAGCTGCTTGACGACGACAACAACAACAACTACTACTACAAGAAGTATCAAGAAGTCACTCCAGCACATGCTGTCTACTTTAGGCTTGGGCCTAAATCAAGAAAAACGTGCCTGGTCCGGAGCAAACTCCCGTGCCAGACCAAAATCAATCAATTTGAGAACGCTCTTTTCGATGGCTTCCTGCTGAGGTTGAATTTCGAGATGCAATTTGCAAATTACTCTTTGCATAAGTTGCATCTCACATACAGCCACTGGGAACTTCCGTGTCTTTGAACCCTCCTTGGTGGTGAAAATGAAGTTCTCCGGCTTCAGATCTCGGTGAGTGTAGTGACTCCTGAGAATTTCATGGCGAGGCTCATCCGCCATCGCTCCACGGCACCAAACACGCAAAAAAAAAAGAACACAGCACCAAACACGGAAAGGCGCTGGTGCATGTAGTAGATCGCCCTAAACATGTTCCTCAGGCACCAGAAAACAGCTTCACACCAGAGCTTGATTCCAATCAGCTGTAGAATGAACTACTATGTACAGCTCAGCTTCTGCATCAACAAAGCTGCCTGCAGGGCGCAATGCAACGTTGCTTGTCAGAAATCAAATGGATTGGTTGCAAATTGGTTGCAAATTGGATTGGAGATGTGTATAACCTGTCTCAAGTCATGCAATACAGCGACACTTGACTTGGGCTCGTGTGCTGTATCACGTGTATAGTGTATTCTGTATTCTCTTGTAGTCTCGCGACTGGAATCCTGTTTGCAAAACTAGGCTTGTTCAATCTTCTTCAACTGATTCTGTCTGCTCTTCTCGGGAGCTGATGATACCCGGCTATTGCAGAGCACTGAGCCTGCTTTTCTGTGAGGTGGCCGTACTCAATGATCCGGTCAAACAGCTCACCGCCGGTACAAAGCTCGAGCACCAAGTAGATGTAGCCTGAAGGCATTCAAGAATAGACAGTGATACACTCAACAATGGCTATAACATGTGCAGCAACGACAATCAAGCAAATTTGCTAAAGCGTGCAAGTGTCGATGATCTTGGAACGACTCATACAACTTGCAAATGTTGGGGTGGTCCAAAATCTTCATGATCTGAATTTCCTTCAGCATTGACTGATGACAAAACGGCAGGGACGAACACGTTCTGCAATTTTGTTAGTTCAAAACATTGTTGCGTGTGTCGCGGTCGTCCTTCTTGAAAGCTTCAGGGCCTCAGATCACAAGGAAAGGTCTCGAGTCTCGTGGGTGTAATTCCACCTTTTATATAATGCTACAGTAAACTGTCCTTCAGTACATAGTATAGTGTATTGCACTACCTTGCAGTCTCTGGAGTTTTCAGCCCGCGGCTTTTCAAAGCAGCCTTATTGATCGTCTTGATTGCCCGCATGGCTTTCGTTGCCTGATTTGTGAGTATGAGAAGGGCTGCAAGTTGGTCTTGCAAAGAAGCTCGCACACCAGACCCACTCATGCGGCCTTGTTCCTTGCTTTGCAGACAGAGCCATACGAACCCTCTCCGATCTTTTTCTTGTCAATGTCATAAAACTGCTGGATCTTGCCCTGGCATGGAGGATCTTTCCCCTGCTTGCAAATGTCCTGTTGCTTCTACTGCAACAAAAACCTAGCAGTTATAAATAAAAAAAAACACTCCTGAACGCGCTCTGACCGCACCTGGTTGTCAACAATGAGGCTCGCAGATGCGAAGCCTGACCAGGTCACAAGTCCGCTCTTCTAGTTGAACGAAGATGGAGCCGGTGGAGCTGCCTTCCATTCCTGCTTGCAAAATAGTATTGAAATATTGCGCCTGTTGTACTCTTCTTGCCACCCCCGCCCTCCTGGCAAACGAGTGAGCATCTGAAGAGGACCATACACGGTGCTATATAGATCTGTCACGTCTCTCCTTCTTCGATGCTGAGGCACCGCAACCCATGGCTACAACAAGGTGAAACCTGGGCTTGGCCTTTCTAGAGCCTGAGGCACAGGAAATAAAACACTAAAGGACCAGGTATGAATCCGGACTACTTGGAGCACTAGGATTTAGTTCACAGAGTGCCGCAGACCCTGAACCAAACACACAGAGCCCCTGGGCAACACTGTCAAACTTTGTGTTGAGCCCTGGCAGCTGGCAGGTCAAGAACAGCGCATGCTGACAAACACATAATATGTTTCAGAACCTCCACGACACAAATCAACTTCTTGTCTATCGGATCTAAGAGGCCTTGCTGCCTTTCCATCTTTTCCTCCACTTCTTCATGGCAGTTGCTAGGCTCTGAACCCACTTCGGTGGTGTTGCCAAACGATCCCAGCGACGGCCTAGGATTCTCCCATGTTTGAACCCGAACAAAGGCTCCTTCAAGCCACTGCATATCTTTGAGTTGCTTCAAGTCAGGCCGGAGTACATCTCAACTCCTGCTCAAATTCGTTCAAAAGGTCTTTCAGCTTCGCATCCTGAATGTATTTAAAATGCTGATTTCCTTCACAGTGCCTTCACCTTTTACAGCAGGATTCCTGAGGGCTGACTGGGCTGGAAATCGACGCTTCCACATCCAAGCTACCTACAAATTTCACAAGCAGGCAAGACTGGAGTTTCTTTCAATGGATTCCTTCTGATTGCCGTTGCCTTTGGCCTGGACTGATGAAGAGATAGACTTCGTCCTGAGAGTTGCAGGAACTCCTTCTCAGGTGGCCAAAGACAAACTGCAAAGCAAGCCTTCGAAATGATCTCGGCCCTTGCAGCCTCAACGAGCTCTGGCGAACTCTAGCAGTAGCACAGAAACAAGAAACTAAGCCCCCGAATCCTCGACTCTCAGATGCAAACGAAAGTTATAAAAAATTATCCCGGCAAGAGACCCCAAACAGTTTGTGTGAGGTCTATAAGCAGAAAGTCTAGAGATCTAGACGCATTGCACGTGGTGACGGTGGCGATGGTGGGGAGGGAGGGACGGACGGACGGACGGACGGACGGAGGGAGGGAGGGAGGGAGTGCGTGCGTGCGTGCGGGCGGGCGGGCAGGCGGGCGGGCGGGCTGGCGGGCGAGAGGGAGGGAGTGAGTGAGTGCACTGGGGAGTGAGTGAGTGTGAGTGTGAATGTGAGTGGGAGTGCGAGTGGGAGTGAAAGTGAGAGTGAGTGCGGTGAGGGAGTGTGAGTGTGAGTGAGAGTGAGGGTCAGAGTGAGAGTCAGAGTGAGAGTGAGAGTGAGAGTCAGAGGGTGAGAGTGAGAGTGAGAGTGAGAGTCAAGAGTGAGAGTGAGAGCGAGAGCGAGAGTGAGAGTGAGAGTCAGAGTGAGAGTGAGAGTGAGAGCGACAGCGAGAGTGAGAGTGAGAGTGAGAGTGAGAGTCAGAGTGAGAGTGAGAGTGAGAGTGAGGGTGAGAGTGAGAGTGAGAGTGAGGTGTGAGTGAGTGTGTGAGTGAGAGGGAGAGTGAGTGTGCGTGAGATGAGGGTGAGTGAGTGTGAGTGCGAGTGTGAGTGAGAGTGAGTGCGAAAATGCGAGTGTCCATGTGAGTGTGAGTGAAGAGTGAGTGTGGGTGTGAGCGTGTGTGAGTGAATCAGAGTGAGAGTGAGGGAGTGAGAGAGCGAGCATCTGAGAGCACAATGCGCCTGCTACGAAATCTGCACATCGAGGTTCACAAAAGCGCTGTACCTGCCACGAAGTCTGCACCTCTCGAGGTTCACAAAGTGCTGCGCCTGCCACGAAATCTGCACTTCGAGGTTCACCAAATGGTGTGCCTGCCACGAAATCTGCACTTCGAGGATCACCAGCGCTGTGCCTCCCACGAAATCTGCACTTCGAGGTTCACAAAGTGCTGCGCCTGCCACGAAATCTGCACTTCGAGGTTAATTGAAGTGCTGTGCCTGCCACGAAATCTCACTTCGAGGTTCACAAAGTGTTGCTGCACCTGCCACGAAATCTGCACTTCGAGGTTCACCAAGTGCTGCGCCTGCCACGAAATCTGCACTTCGAGGTTCACCAAGTGCTGCGCCTGCCACGAAATCTGCACTTCGAGGTTCACAAAGCGCTGCACCTGCCACGAAATCTGCACATCGAGGGTCACAGAGTGCTGCGCCTGTCACGAAGTCTGCAAACGAGGCACATGTCCAAAAGTCACAGTTCACTGCACCTGTCACGAAATCTGAGCTCCTCGACGATCACCACCATGTCCAAAGTGCTGCACCTGCCACGAAAACTGCACTTCGAAGTAAAACAGCCCCGATCCCTTGCACCTGACACAAAAAGTCGACTTTGGAGCGCCAAAACACAAGGTTTCCCTTGCGCCTGCCACGAAAAGTGACCGCCATGTACCAAAATGCGCACGGCGCCACAACGAGAGCGCAGTCGCTAGAAGCACCCACCGCCGGCCCCCAGATTCTGCGAGCCTGCGCAGTCGAAATGCACTTCGAGGGTTTCGAGAGGCATGAATGTACTGTAAACAGCAACGAATTAGCGTTCACGCCTGCGCGGAACAGCGATCTAAGCACACCTGCTTTTCACCTACCGTAAGAACCCCTCAGTGTGCCCACACTGTTTGGGGAATTATGTGTATACATACATCTAATCTAATGTATATATATATATTGTGTTGAACATAAACTTTAAAATACAGAATTGCACATATACCTGTGAAACACTGCAAGAAATGATATTCTCAATCCTGCAGTTTCCATACAATGCACTTTAAGCGTGTTTTACAACAGCACAAAACATTATACAACTTCAGAAGGAATAATGTTTTTCTTTTTATGCCTTACCAGGCCTTATAACATCGATGTGCGTCAGCAGCGGTCGAATTGAGAAGTTTATTTTGCGTGGGACGGCCGCAGAAATGGGGTGTGAGTGAGAAGCAGAATTGAATACAGTAAGTACATGCTATGCATTCCCACTTTAAAGAGCAAGGTCTGGTGTTGTCAAATCAAAAACAGAAAACCCTTCACTCAGACTATGGCGTTCTGGAAGAAGCCTGGATGGAAGGAAGTCCAAGTAACTTCAGCTGCTTCAGTTGTCATAATCTTTCTGGTGTCACCAAGGAGTGAAATGTTGTCCCAACCACGCCTCGCCATGCGCCGCAACTGCAATGGTACGTCGTCTTTGCCCTGTCAATCCAGATTCCCACCAGAGAACGTTGCGCGGCAAAACGAGATTGGAGGATGAGCTCCCGAGCATGATATCTCCAAGTTTGGTTATATCCCATTACCAGTAGGAGTGGATGATGATCGTTGGCAAAGGGCTTGTGCGAAATAAAGATGATTGTTTACCGACTATTACAGGTATTGGGACAAACCCAGTCTCCATGTACTTGAAACAGTATCGCATCGGTCCCTGGCTCAAACATCCGCACCTGAGTTTACTCGCCAGCCAGTGTCTTCCCATCTCTGTTCAGACACCTCAAAAGCACTGGTATCATCGGAATCTACGCTTCAAAGGACCGGCCTTGCGAGGCATCAGGCGCACTTGGGCGTCCAATTCTCTGCCATCAACCACACATCTGCATTGCGTTGTACTGCTGTGCCGATCTGGCCATAGCTTGTGTGGCTGCGTCCATTCAACTGACAACAGTTGGGCAAGGAAATCAATGAGGAGAACGATCCAAGCTGCTTTTGCGTGAACAACCATCATACAGAAACCTATAAGGATAGAACCAGAAAGCAACCACATCAGAATTCCACAGATTGATTATGTCTGTTACTCCAAGCATGTGCAAGTCTGGACACTTTGCATTCTGAATACACATCAAGTGTTTCTTCATTTCTTCTGTCCTTGTATTTGAAGCTGCAGCGGAAAGGTGGCAGGGTGGGCCGATAAAAAGCAAAAACGCTGCTTGAAACCAAAAGAGCTGTAGCCCCGTACTATAAACGAACTAGACTACAAGTACACGTGAGAAGGGCTCAGGCCGCCAGGCCCTACCCTGCAAAAGCAGCCTCGCTGAGATTGGTCATTCGGCTTCCAAAGCTGAACTCAGCAGTTGAGACCGGCCGCCTAGCAAAGCAGTATGGGGATTGGCTAAGAGCCAAAACACTTACGAAAGAATCTGCAATGAAAACAAAATATGTTTGTTAAGCATGTTTATACAAATCATCATGTATATATATATACATATGTTTTTTGGTCTGGCTCTTTTCCGCAGTGGAAGTTCTTCGACTGGGCTCATGCCAGCCACGATCTGATGTCTGACGTTCTCGGCCGCGAGCACGTGCTCTTCAGCTTGTTGGTCAAAATGACCTGCTCTCCCTGAATCTTGGTGCGCAAGTGGCACTGCTGGCATTCCAGGCTCTTGCCGATGCGGATCATCTCATGTGTTGGGTGTCCATGCCATTTTCCAGACTCCAAAGGTCCGTGATGGCAAACCTCTCCCAAAAGCGATGGAAGGTTTCTTCTCCAGCTCTTGCTAACACGTACCCTTTGCAGCGATCGCAACGGAGGTACGCTTTGTCAAGCCGCAAGTGATGGGCGCCATCTTCAACCTCCCCTTGGGCTTCCAAGAGATCGTGGATGACCTGGAAGCGGGTCTTCTTCAAGACTCTTCCTGGCACTGCATGCATGCACGCGGTGCTCAATCCCTCCTTGATCTCCTTGACCATGGACTTGGAGTGGTAGCGCTGTTTGCATTGACTGCATTGCACCCCGAACCTGTAGGCAACCCATTGGTGTCCATGAGCACTTGGTTGTGCTAGGAATTGCTCCAGAAGCTGCTTCTTCTGCTGGATGAGAGAGACCTTTTGGTTGCCAGGAAGCACCTCTTTCTTGTGAAGAAAGTGAGCTTTGTCTTGGAGGAGGAACTCCATTCTCCGGGCTGCAACATGTAGGATGTCCCTAATGTCTTCGTCGATGTGACGCTGCAGATCGAGGGTCTGCAATGAGAGCTGCTTGGGTGGCCTTGGCCTGTGTGTCTTGCTGAAAAGCTTTGCGATTGGGGTTGGAGTCCATCTCCTTGGTCTG